CTTTATGAAGATATGTTTCTATTCGGATCACGTTTTTCTGATTTTTGTTTGATTGATGTTGTAGGCGTTGTTTTATTCGAGTTCTAAATTGACGAAGAGAACGATGTGAAAAAATTTCTTGTTCGATATAAACGAAAATTTTCGTTGCCTTATAAAAAGTAGACATTAGTTTTATATGTTTTGATGTACTAATACGTGAGAGCAAATTTATGAATGGATTTGATACATATGATGATCGTAGCGGTGATGATTTTATATTGTTGGCTGTACTATTTTGAATATCTGTTGATCACGATGGTGATCGACAAAAATAACTGTGTTCCATATCAAATGATATATTCATTAGGTTTGGTTGAATTTTATTATCATTTGAAGAATCATTATTTGTTTCATTATTGAAACTAACATTGCTCTATGGGATTAAATGAAAGTAAACAAAACAGCATATCTTAGAGAGCAATAAAGTTAAAACTTACATAATTATCATAAATTAGTTCAAGTGCAACTTGATTATCATCGTCCTCATCATCATTTTCATAATCAATATTTGTTGAATTTTCCATTTGAGTATCATCTTCTTTGTCTTTATCATAATAATCATCAAAAGAGTATTTGTTGATTACTGACGACGTTCGTTTTGTTTTTATTATATCAGTTGATTGTGTTTTCATCTGAAATAGAAAAAAATCTATATTATAGGAGTAACATGATTTATCACAACAACACTTATGAACTTACCTGAATACTTGTACAATTTTCACATTGATCAATTGAATAACCACTAAAAGATGTACAAGGTAAATTATTTGTTGAACATTTACATCTTTGACAATCACTTGTACATTTAACACATTTACTTAAAGATATATCATTTGGTACTGCAGATTTTGTTATCCATTAGATAATTAATTGACCATCATTTGCTCGTTGATATCCATAATTTTCAATTGAATAATAATTCATTACATTATATTGTTCAAATGCTTTTTTCCAAATGTATACTTGTCTCCATGTACGTTGGCAATACTGATAAAATGAATTTGATGTTGATGGTAATTTTGTACATATATTTAATGTTGAATTTTTAAAGTATTTTAAAGCCATAGTTTTTCGTAAATCATTTAATAATGTTTCAGGTGCTAATTTTGTTGTTGTCGAAAATGATGATGATGTCGTTCGTGATATTGATGATTTGAAAGTTCTTGAATTTTTATAACATGATACCAACAAGTCTTCAGCAGCTTGTAATGATTCAGTTGTAATTGTTAAATCATCACCAAATTTAATTAAGTCTTGAAATTGATTCGAATTTCACAAGTATGTAAGAAAAGAATTAAATTTTGTAATATTTCGAGTAAAAGATGTTGTATCACATCCAGATATTGCATGTAAAGTTAACAATACACTTGGTTCAATTATATTCCATTTTTTTCTTATTAGCTTATCAATTTGTTTTATATTGATAAATGTGAATCATTTCGTAGACGTGTTAAATTTTTTGATGAAATAATTTGGCAACATCATCATTTTTATATGTGCTATTGATAAAAGGAAGATATCAGTATCATTTGATTGTATCATAATGCCATCGAATTTACCACCATCGTCTTTCATTTGAATATTATATGTATGAAGAAAAATACGCGTATCAGCTTCGATGTGGTCCGATTCTAAATTGTATAAGGTTTCTATTGATAATGTTAATGATGAATTCTTGTTATTGAATAATTTAATAGTTTCATGTTGCGGACCACCTATTATTAAATGTTTATTGACCGGTAATAAATCAATAAGTTCATTTTGTGACCAATAAGAACGAATAACACGTGCTAATTTTGCTCGATTACTATGGACAAATTCATCAAATCTTGAAGAATCTAAAATATCATTTGGTTTTAAATCATATTGTTGTTGTTCTTCTTTGTTTTGATATCCATGACATGATTTAATAAATTTACTTTGATCAGCATCAAATACAATATCAATTCGATCATAATTTTGAAATTCTGGAATAACATTATGTGATAATAACTGTTTAGCATAATCATAAATAGTGCCATTCGAGTGTAATGGTCGAATTTCTAATAGTGGACCACCATCAATGATTAAAGCCCATTTACCATTATTGATTGTTGGATTTTTTGTTGAAAAACCAATTGGACATTCTTTTTCAAATAATTTTATTATTTCTGATTTTTGTTGTTGATTTAATAGATTACAATCTTGAGTATCACATAATAATAATGGTGCTGGTGAAAATTCATATGAAAATAACGAAGTCATATCTAATTCCTAAAAAGAAAATAAAGAAAAATTTATTTTACCATAGCAAAAAAAACAAATTCATCTTTCTGAATGTGATAGCAGACTTCAGGACTTCAAGAAGGCATCAGATGACGTCAGAAGACTTTGTGGGACAAGTATGAAATTCACTGAAAAGTAAAAGAGATTTCTAAAGATTTCAAGAGATTTCAAAACCTTCATAAGATTTCGCAGAGCTTCATAAAGTTTTAAGGAAATTCATCGTGATTCCTTGCACTTTAATGTATATTAAAAGCTATAGCTGAAAGACTTTGAAAGGCTTTTTAAGATTTCATTAGACTTCGTAGTACTTCAACAAACTTCATGAGACTTGAAGACAGACGTCTCTACTGCTTCCTCCTTACATATTTCTATGAGAATGTTATATTCACAAAAGCATTCAAAAAACTAGAGAACAGATGAAATATAAGAACAACTAGTGTTAAAGAGAAACAGCTCTAATGTTCGCATGAAAGTTTTAAAGTTTCTTCATAGATTATCTGAGGATCATTTGTTGACATGATAATCTGCTAGTTTTGGAAATGTATGATCACAAAAGGCATTTCATTTCCTAATGATCGTATTTCCCAAACAATATGTATAAGTATGAAAGTTAACTCACTCGAAAGTATGATAAAGAAATTATATGATTAATTGTATTATCAGCTGCTTTCATCATTTTAGCAATAAGAATAGTATTATTTTTTTTATTTTCAAGTCGTTGTTCATTATTTGATACGTATGGATCAGATAATTTATAGCAAATGATAGCTAATAAACGATCTTCTATATTTATCGAATGATCAATGTATCACTTTTGAATAAATGAATGCATTCTTTG